TAGGTATTGGAGCAGTTCTTATGCAGGATAAGAAGCGCGTCACTTACTTCAGCGAAAAATTAGGAGGATCAACGCTGAATTATCCCACGTATGACAAGGAGTTATACGCATTGGTTCGAGCTCTCCAGACGTGGCAACACTACCTATGGCCTAAGGAATTCGTCATTCATACCGATCACGAGTCTCTAAAGCACCTAAAGGGTCTGCAGAAACTTAACAAAAGACATGGGCGATGGATGGAGTTCATCGAGACATTCCCCTACATTGTTAAGTACAAAAAAGGTAAAGATAATGTGGTCGCAGACGCATTATCCCGGAGGTACACTCTTATTTAGACTTTAACGTCAAAGTTGATTGGATTTGAGCACATTATAGATCTTTATGAATCTGATACTGACTTTTCTGAGAGCTATGCCAAGTGTCATAAGTTTGCCTGTGAGAAATTTTATAGACAGGATGGATACTTGTTCTTCAGTAACCGATTGTGCATACCACGAGGATCCATCCGAGAGCTACTGGTACGAGAAGCTCATGGAGGTGGATTAGCTGGAAATTTCGGTGTCACAAAGACACTTATTGGGCTACAAGAGCACTTCTACTGGCCGAACATGAAGAAAGACGTTGAGAAAATCTGCTCTAGATGTGTCGTATGTAAGATGGCTAAGAGTAAAGTTCAACCTCACGGTTTGTATACTCCTTTGCCTATTCCTTCTCAACCTTGGACTAATATCGCTATGGATTTTGTAGTTGGCTTACCTCGAACCAGAAATGGTAGAGATTCTATTTTTGTAGTTGTTGACAGGTTTAGCAAGATGGCCCACTTCATCGCTAGCCACAAGACAGATGATGCTGTGAATGTAGCTAACTTGTTTTTCAGGGAAGTAGTAAGACTGCATGGAATGCCACAGGTTATCATTTCAGATCGAGACACGAAGTTCTTAGGACATTTTTGGCGAACGCTTTGGGCTAAGCTGGGGACAAAGCTCTCATTCTCAACTACGTGTCATCCTCAGACCGATGGATAGACCGAGGTGGTGAATAGAACGTTGTCCACACTTCTAAGGACTTTGGTTAAAAGTAACCTCAAGACTTGGGAAGAGTGTCTGCCTCATGTCGAGTTTGCTTACAATCACACTAAGCATTCCGCTACTCTCTTTTCTCCTTTTGAAATTGTATATGGGTTTAATCCACAATCACCTCTAGACTTGATCCCTTTGCCTTTAAGTGGGAAATGCAGCTTGAATGGCAAGGAGAAAGCTGAACAGGTCCGAAGAATACATGCTAAGGCTAAGGAGAACATCAAGAAGAAGACAAAGCAGTATGAGAAGCATGCCAACAAAGGACGAAAGGAGCTGATTTTCGAAGAAGGAGATCTGGTGTGGATCCATCTGAGGAAGGAGCGATTTCCAGCCGAGCGAAAGAACAAGCTAATGCCCAGAGTTGATGGACCATTCGCAGTCATCAAAATAATCAACAACAATGCCTATCAGATTGATCTTCAAGGTAAGTATGATGTTTCTGATGCTTTCAATGTTTCTGACTAGCTTCCTTATGTTGCAGATTCAGATTTGAGGACAAATCCTTTTCAAGAGGGAGAGGATGATATGATCGTGACCAGCTCAGAGGAGGAGGAACCAGAGGTAGCTGGCAGGATCACTCGTTCCAGAGCTAGAGAGATGGCTAAGGAGGCTCACACACTCATGGCCGCAGAGGACATTGATCAACTGGAGGCTGGAGCTCACATCTTCAACATCTCTATCTTGAAGAATGAAGAACCCAGTAACAATGACTAGGTAACTTAGGTGATGATTCTGTAATCTTTTCCTTGGTGAGGATTTTGGAAGGCAAGGAGGTTTTTCTCCAAGGTTTTTAACGAGGCAGAAATCATTGCTACGTCGAGTTACTTAGAAGTTGTTACTAATGGGTAATAATGTGCAAAGTCACAATGACTTGTGCACTAGTGTTTTAGGCGCACCACTTAGGTTTAGAAGGGACGCCTCGCTGTTTTATTTTTAAATTAAACTTCGTGTTGTTTTTTTATTTCAAAAAGCCATGTAGTTTGTTATTAGGGCTGCGATTTTCTCTCTTAGTCTATAAAAAAGAGAAAATCGCCTAAGTCATATTCAGTGAAGAATTTTGATCAAACTTTTAACGTGTTCTTCTCTCTTTGATTTCTGAGAACTAAAAACTCTGAAATTCGAATCTCTTAAAAACTTATCTGTTTACAAGAGATTCTTCTATCCCTCTATTCCATCGATTCAATCATCATACTACCACCACCATTCCATCGAGTCTATCTCTTCCACCATACCATCGATTTGAGAAACCAAACCATCATCTCCCTTCATCGATCTGCCGCACCATCACACATCCACGACTCGATCCGCCGAGTCTCCATCATCTTCATCGAGCCATTATCGTGTCACCACCACCACCATATCGCCTCATTGATACAGTCTGGCCATTATATCGCTGCCTCTATTGTCTTTATCTTCAGAGTTGATCACCTAGGATCGTATCATCTAAGAAATTAATTCTAACAGCAGCTTAATATTTAGCTTCTTCGTTTTTTATAGGAAGCATAACCAAAGCTTCACATCGCCTTAAGCCCTCTCTTACACCAGAAGACGAATATCCACAATTTATTGGGTATGACAGCTATATGCGACCAGATTATAGATAGATTGGGAATAAAGCGTAGAATAAAAATTATGAAGAAGAAAATAATGGGCATTTATGTCACTCAAGATTATAGGTTTACTTTAGAATTTTTTTTTAAAGCTGAGTTATCTATAATTATAGGTTATAGGTTTAATTGTGTGTTGTTCTTTCTCAGTTTCTCATACTTCAAATGAGTTATCTTTAATTGGGATAGCTATGTATAATACAGAAGAAGATTATCAACAAAATAATTCTCTTACAACCAAGTCCAGACCAAAACCAACTTCAACTACAACAATTGGTATATGTTAATCATATACCTTTTTACTATTTACTAATGTATACTTAAGTCTTAATTATATACTATCTCGGTAATGAAGGGACAAGCAAGAGGAGTATACAACGTTTTTTGGAGCTCAGTTGAAACAGATGAGGATTTTCCTCGACTTCTTGGGTTTGACAACTCTATGCATTCATATTATAGCTTAAGTATCAAGAGAAGAATGGATATTATGAAAACAAAAATGGCGTTGTGCAATGACCAAGAATGTGTGATTCTAAATTGTAGCAACATGTCTTAGTCAATATTCTAATTTACAGTTTAATATGAAAATTTGGAAAAGAAAAAAAAATACATTCTCATGTTTTTAAACACTAGATGTAGTTGGATAATCTCATGCACCCTCTTACCAAAGAAAAGGTCTTTGGTATTTGTAACGCATTTAAAATGTTTTTACTTCATAGTCAAAGTTGAAATCTATTCAATTTTGACAGTTGTAGAGACGAAACTTTCTCCGGAACGATTTCAAAGAAAGAACTCCATCTCTATGATAACACTCGATTTTTATAATTTTTATATATAATTTTTAATAGTTTATGCAAGTGTTTTAACTATGTTTTCAAATTTTTCTAAGTGATAGCTATGTTTTAGAGTTTTAAAAATACTTTTCAGAAAACTTGGAATTAAGGAGTGCATTTTGGAGAAAAATATATATTTTGGAACCGTAGCGAATATGTTAAATAATAAATAATTGATTATAAAAAACAATTGGTGAAAACATGTGTTTAAGACAAGGTATTAATCTGAATGTTTACTACTTTTTCAATACATTTTGCATCTCTATACTATTATTTAATTATTTAATAAGTCATTTTACAAAAACAAATTATAATGTACGTTATTACATATTATGCAAGTACAAATAAGAAAAAATAAATGAAATAAAAAAAATTATAATTGTAAAGAAAAACTAGAAAGTATTTTTTTCCAATTTCATTAAATATATGATATTCATTATTGAATGTTTATATATCATATATTTCAAAATAAATAATCAATCCACATTTATTTAAAACAAATATTATTGCAATATTTGTCATTAAAATATATCAAAAAAGATTAAAATCAATTAAATTAAAATTTATTTAAATCAATTAATTCAAAAAAATCTATCTATATTAATTATGTTAAAATATTATAAAATTTTAAAAAGGTCAACAATTTGTTTTTAATAAAACTAAAACAAATTTAAATAAAAATTACTTCGTATTGTAGCATGAGTTAATCCTAGTTGTGAAAAAATATAACAGTGAAATTAATAAGATATAATTAACTTTTTGATTCTACATTAATATAAAACTAGTAATGGTTTAATTGATATAATAATATTAATTTGAATACTAAATCTGAGATTTGGAAAAGTAAATTTTTTTATTTTAATAAAAACTTTAACATTTGAAAAAATAAATGTTAGATCCATATTAGCTATATCATTGATCATGGTTTTACGCGTTATCTATATTTTCTAGTAGTTTAAGTTTTATTTATGATAAATCTTTAATTATATATCTTATAATGTATTTGCATTATTTGGTTATTTAGATTAATAATATTTACATTTTTCATATGTTTAATATTATAGATATTATAAATAAATATAACTAATCAATAAGAGATACATTTCAGATTTTAAATGATATGGTTAAAATATATTTTTCTAATTTATGATAAAATTTAACATAAGATTGAATTATTTTTTAAAATTTTATTTAATGAATATATCACTAATAGAGGTAGAATTTAAAGATGGGATTCTCAACTAAAATTAACTCAAAATATTAACATAAGATTAAATAATAAATATAAATATATATTAAAAATAATATTATATTGATGAGATATTAAATGAGTATATTACTAATAGAGATAGAAGTTTATGATGAGATTCTTAACTAAAATTAACTCAAAATATAAATATTAGATTGGTGAGATATGCTATAAGTATGACACTAACTGTACAAGACTTCCTAATTTTTTTTTTACATTTTAAAGATAAAGATTACTAGGTGTTCATTTTTGAAGTTCGAAGTGTTATAGCATGATGATGAAACATGGTTACTCTATCACCTTTTTAACTTTCTTTCTGTTTTTTTCTCTTGTTTTACATTTACATTTTGAAACAATGGCTGCAAGAACATCAGTTAATGTATTCGGTCCACCTATCACTCTCGACCAATCAACACAACCATCCCCAAAAAATTTTTTACCCAAATCTTCAGGTCCTAGTCCCAGAGGAGAAGGACACCCACATCTACTAGGTATACTATAAAAGTTATCATAGCTAGTTTTGTATCTTAGTAACTATTGTTATTGATATTGATCCATCTTTCGGATTTTTTTTTATGCAAACTTTATATTTTATTTTTTTCAAGCGGATATAAACTTAAATCGATAAAAAAATAATGTTTATATTCTTTATGTTCCCATAAATGTTGTTATTGAAAAGTTATGTTTTCTTTTCAGGTACATCTATCACTCTCGACCAGTCACCACAACCATCCCCAAAAAAGTTTTTACCCAAAGCTTCAGGTCCTAGTCCTGGAGGAGATATACACCCTCACCTACTAGGTATACCATAAAAGTTATCATACATGGCCAGTTTTGTATCTTAGTGACTATTGTTATTGATATTGATCCCTCTTTCGGATTCCTTTTTATACAAACATTTGTTTTTTATTTTTTTCAAGCAGATATAAACTTAAACTGATCAAAAAATGATGCTTATATTCTTTATGTTCCCATAAATGTTGTTATTGAAAATTTATGTTTCTTTTCAGGTCCACCTATCACTCTCGACCAGTCACCACAACCATCCCCAAAAAAGTTTTTACCCAAAGCTTCAGGTCCTAGTCCTGGAGGAGATATACACCCTCACCTACTAGGTATAGCATAAAAGTTATCATACATGGCCAGTTTTGTATCTTAGTGACTATTGTTATTGATATTGATCCCTCTTTCGGATTCCTTTTTATGCAAACATTTGTTTTTTATTTTTTTCAAGCGGATATAAACTTAAACTGATCAAAAAAATGATGCGTATATTCTTTATGTTCCCATAAATGTTGTTATTGAAAAGTTATGTTTTCTTTTCAGGTACACCTATCACTCTGGACCAGTCACCACAACCATCCCCAAAAAAGTTTTTAACCAAAGCTTCAGGTCTTAGTCCTGGAGGAGATATACACCCTCACCTACTAGGTATACCATAAAAGTTATCATACATGGCCCGTTTTGTATCTTAGTGACTATTGTTATTGATATTGATCCCTTTCGGATTCCTTTTTATGCAAACATTTATATTTCATTTTTTCAAGCAGATATAAACTTAAATCGATAAAACAATGATGCGTATATTTTTTATGTTCCCATAAATGTTGTTATTGAAAGTTATGTTTTCTTTTCAGGTACACCTATCACTCTCGACCAGTCACCACAACCATCCCCAAAAAAGTTTTTACCCAAAGCTTCAGGTCCTAGTCCTGGAGGAGATGGACACCCTCATCTACTAGGTATACCATAAAACTTATCATACATAGCCAGTTTTGTATCTTAGTAACTATTGTTATTGATACTGATCCCTTTTTCAAATTCCTTTTTATGCAAACATTTATTTTTTATTTTTTTCAAGCGGATATAAACTTAAACCGATCAAAAAAATGATGTTTATATTCTTTATGTTCCCATAAATATTCTTATTGAATAGTCATGTTTTCTTTTCATCTTTTACTTAAACTTAGCATCAAGGATAATTGTTTGGAATTCTTCTTTGAAGCTAATATTATATTGAATTATTTACAGGAATATCAGGCTGATGTGTCAACACCAAAGAACTTCTCATATGTAATAAAATAACAAAATTATTAAAATATATGTCATTCATATTAAAGTGTTTGAAATTTACTTATATATATTACTAAGCTAATCATAAATTAAAAAAAAAATATATACTCTATTTCTCTCTCGCTTCCTATTATGTCTTCTAATTAAACCATATTATTTATAATAAATCATCACATTATCAACATGAACAAAAAATATTGCAATTTTTTCACATAAGATTAAAATTTCTTAAAAGCAACATAAATTATCCACTTTACGAATGAAAATGTATGTGTTAAAAGTTTTAACAATATTAGAATAGGAAAACGAAGGTGTTAAATATTTAATATTTCAATATTTGTGAAACTACAAAAAATTGTTAAATATTTAATATTTCAATAATCTCAAATTCAAAATAAAGTCGTTACGAATTTGAAAATAGTTAGAAAATCATTATGTTGATAAAAATTATTACATGTTTAGCATATACAAGCGAATCTCAAATATCAGATAATAATTTCACCAACAACTATAACAGAATTTGTATCTGAAATTACATAAAACTTTTGTAATAATAATTTCGCTTGCATGTGATCGCGGATATCACCTAGTTCCTAGTTATTCAATAATTTGTTTATATTTATATATTTTACTGGAAAGATATCATATTCTAATTCGTAATGACAAATAGGAAAAATACAATATCAACTTACCAGTTATTAAACTATTTAGTAAAGTATGTAGTTTTTTTCTAGGTAAAGTAAATAGCTTAATTTTTGTGATTTTGGAGATAATACAATAAGAACTGGACTAGGTATAAGATCAAGAGGAAAAGACAATAAATGTAACGTACGTAACATACTGGTGGTTGGTCTAACATATAATTACCATTAAACAATTATTTCTTGTGAACATTTCTTATTATATATAGTTCAACTGGGCAAAGTTCAGCTATGTAATAAAAGATGTATAAACAAAACAGTCAGGCATCAACTTCAGAATATAGATGAGATGAGTCATCCATAAGTTCATCCCCACATCAATTAAATGCTATCACTAGAAATATTCGACCACCAGTGTTTGCTCATAATACTCCATAAGTCATCAACTCTTGGTTGTTTCATGTGTCATTAAAACCCCTTTCTTCGGGCTCATCAAAGCTTCAAAACCATATCTTTTACTTGATAGCCAAAGTTGAAATTTTTAAAATTTTGACAATTGTAGAGACAAAACTTTCTCCAGAACGATTTCAAAGAAAAAACTCCATCTCTATGATAACACATGATTTTTATCATTTTTATATATCGTTTTTAATATGTTATGCAAGTGTTTTAACTCTGTTTTCAAGTTTTTCTAAGTGATTTCTATGTTTTATAGTTTCAAAAAACTTTTCAGAAAACTTGGACTAAAAGAATGCATTTTGGAGAAAAGGTACATTTTAGAGCCCTTACAAATATATCAATAAGAGCCAACTGATTATTAAAAAACTATTGGTGAAAACATATGTTTAATACAAGGTATTAATCTGAATGTTTACGAATTTTTCAATATATTATGCATCTTTATAGTATTTAATACATCATTTTAAAAAATAAATTTTATCATGTAAGTTATTACATACTATGCAAGTACAATAAGAAAAGATAAATGAAATAAGAAAAAATATAATTTTCTTTCAAACCAAAAAGAAATTATAGAAAGTATTTGTTTTCCATTTTTATTAAATATATGAGATTCATTATTTAATGTTTATATAATATATATTTCAAAATAAATAATCAATCCACATTCATTCAAAACAAATATTCAAAATTTTGAAATATTATTAATTAAAATTTATCATTTTATTTTTAATATATATAAAAACAAAAGTTAAAAGGAATGGTTTTAAAATTTATTTAAATCAAGTAATTTAACAAATCTATTTGTATTAATTAGATAAAATATATTATAAATTTTAGAAAAGGTTAATAATTTGTTTTTATAAAAAAATTCAAAAAACATATTATTGAAAATTACATCGTAGTGTAGCATGTGTTAGTCCTAGTTGTCCAACAATATAACAGTAAAATTAATAAGATATAATTATTTTTTTTAATTCTACATTAATATAAAATTAGTAATGTTTTAATTAATATAATAATATTAATTTGAATACAAAATCTGAGATATGAAAAGTAAATTTTTTTATTTGAAAAAATAATATTAGTTTTAATACAAATGTAAATTAAAGAGTTTATATATATATTTAATCTTTTTTAAAATAATTAATTTTTTTTACTAAATAATGATATACAAAGATAAATAGAAATGAACCAATAAAAAGGGAGTTGATGTGTCAACCCCTCGAGAGTCCCCTCCAATTATTATATATTAGATTTTTTATTCTTTATTTGTTTATTTTTTAAATATATTATTTTTAGTTTTAGCTTTATAACCTGCTTTTTACCATTTTGCATTTTTAATGATCTTATTATATATTAGAAAATTGAGAAATTTTCGAGTTTTTTCATTTCAATCATCACACAACAATTATTTTGAACTTTCTAAATTTCTCAATTTCATATTTTGTTATTATATATATTTGACTGAATCCATTTTTTCAACCAGTACCTCTAAAGTTTTTTATATTTATTTGTTGTGTTATTATTTTATATTTTTCTTTTCTATCATTTTTTTCATAAGAGGCGAAATAGATTATTACAGTGTGTTACAAGAAATAATTGTAGTGGAGTATTCTGATTTGGTAAGGATGAAAACCGTTCTCTTAAAATGTGATTGGTTGCATCCAATAGTTGGAAGAGAGATACAATTTAACAAATTTGGGGTGGTAGAAGTGAATCAATCACGACGCTACAAGAAGTTTGAGACATTTATTCTAGCATCATCTCAAGCAGAACAAGTCGCATTTATACCATATCCTTGAATTCGAGCAAAAAGGATCCCATGGTTAACGGTTATCAAAATGGCTCCAGAAGACAAAATCGTAGGTATTGAGGATCTTCCACTGCAACAAGTGATATGACCCTGAAGGAGAGCAAGAAAAATCAATAGGAGTTTTGGCAAGGAAAAGACCTGTATGACTTTTTCAGCACAAACAAAGGCTAAGATCAATTCTTCCAGACCAACAACCATTTGGAAAACATTATCATCTCATCCAGAGAGCACCACGAAGTGGAATCAGTTCAATCGGATTTCAGATGAAGGAGTTATTAATTTTACAAGTCAGACGAACTCGAGCTTAGTCGATTTGGACCTGCGCGCAATCAAAGGAGGATTCCGACCAAGCCAGAAGGAATCAAGCAACATGTTCTGGATTCTTAATCCATCCCAGAATCACTTCGAATTAGATTCACATCAAAACCGATTCAAAATTGGGAGATATGGATTTACAAACCAATGGATTTGCTTCAGGTCCGATTATACGTCGACGCCAAAGATCAAGTCATACCGCCCGACTCAGAAGACATCTCGACATGAAACCACTTGGCGAAGCTTAATAGATCTCTTGTGGTTCTAACAAACCCAAGAACAGGAGAAATGGCCATTGGATTACGAAGATATACATAAATGTTTAACAAAGACGTGGTATAACAAGAGAAGATCAACCAGTGGTATAACAAAGAAATCAGCACCATCACCGCATCATGGTTTGATATTGGAGTCGAATCACCTCTAATTTGGGTTTACCAGATCTTTACCAAATCTTTGTCAAAGTTAAATTCTCCGATCTTCGCCTGAAGTCTAAGACTAAGAAAGCTACCATATAATGATGGAGTTACCTTATTAAATATAAAGTTAGCAATACATTTAAATATTTACCTAATATAATCAATATTTTAACAGTATAAAATTATTGTTATCAATCTAATATATTCTATATCGTGGTTAAATATAAATATAATGGTTATACGCAGTACAACAAGTTTTAATAAGCTACAAAAACATTTAAAAGGTTACAAAAAACATGTAACCCTTCACATAATAACAATTGTAGTCGATGTCGACACTGTCATCATCACCAGAACTATGGCTATATGGGTATCATTAGATTCCCATCACTAAAGAGAAGAGGTTTTATGTATAAATTTTTGTCAGATTCATCTTTATTTTTAAGTTAGATTCATGTATTTGTTCAATGAAAGAAATAATAAAAAAGAACCATTGTAAGAAAGAAGAAAGAGAAAAAGTCATTTCCTACAACTACTACCCTGTTCTAACGAGGTCATTTTTGTTATTTCTTGTAACACTCTGGATTTTTTCATTTCTTACTGGTGTTAGTTAGATTTATAAGTTTCACATCTGTCATGAATATCTGTCTCACTCTAAAAATATACACACACAAAAATTTTGATTAAAATATATTTATTTATTTTCTATAAAAATTCTCATCTACCAGTTAGTGATGAGAAATAACCTCGCGTGCCCAAGTGATTCTCTCATGCCGGTGGTGGTCCCTCTTTCTTTTAGTGAAATGTGTTATCTCCATATTACCTTGAATTTTGTTGAAATACAAAAATGAAAAATCGACCAATGAGAATTTGAGAATGTTCAGCCAATCAAGAGGTTTAGTGGGAAATTTCGACCAATAGGAAACAATGAGGTTCAACCAATAAAAATATTTTGGACCTAAATTTCAGCTAATCAGAAATTATGAAAATTCTGCGTTTTCATTGAATTAATTCGATTCGTATTCGACGATTGGAATCATCAGAAAATTGGGTTTGGAACAGCTTTTCCACTTCAATTCGACAAAGCTCTTCCACTTCCATTCAAACAACAAAGCACGATGTAAGTGATTCTTCTTCCTCTGCCTCTGAATTTGTCATTCATTACTAGTTGTATTTGATTCGATGTTTCCCAAGAACAATTGGGTTGGAGATATAAATTCAATTTACAAAATAAGGCAATTCAAAACGGGGAAACTTCATTTCTTATGGACATTGGGTTGCATTGGGTCACATTTGCGATTAATGGACTGTTGAGGTTTAATCGTAAGTAGATTTTAGGTCTACCAAATTCGCAGACTCAGGATAACTTGAACAAACTGGTAATACTGGGATTAGTGGTATTAATGAGTTAAATTGATATGCAGAGTTTATGTTTTTTTTTCAGAACATAATGTTAACAAACATACTCTTTGATTATGGAGGACATAATTCAAGTACCAAGGATAAATGAATTTCAAGAGAAGGTTTCATGTACGGTATAATGTTAAAGAAATCAAGCTTAGAGGAGATACACTACTCTGATTTAGTGTGTAGGATATACATGAAGGTTGGGATAGGTGAATCGTCGACAAAGTTGAAACTGAGTTATATTCTGGTAGTAGTGCAAACGAATAAATAATTTTATATTTTGGATGATGATGATCTTGGTGTCTATCTGACGTCGTTCGATAAAGAGGGACACAGAAGTGTCTTGCATGTAGAGGTTATCAACGTAGTCGGAGTATCTGAGGTGACTGAGCAAGTTTCACGTGTAAAGAGGGTAAGTCCAGTTGATGTGAATAACAGGGAGTTGAGTACAGGTAATGATTTAGCGAGTGAATGAGTTTTTGCTGACCACAATGCTCAATTTAATGATGGTGTCCTAAGCTATTTACACAGGAAACAGTTCAGAAGAACAATATCATGAGCCAATGATGGAGAATGATGATGGTGTGAAGTTATCTCGTGAGAATGAGGATTACGGTGGATATCAAGATAACATAAGTCAAAATTATTGAATGCTTGATATTGTTGAACCTCCCGCATGTGTAGAAGAACAACGCTTTGAATGTGAATGGGAAGATGGTATGAGTCTGAGAGTAGGTGAAGGGTTTAGCTGTAAGCAGGATCTAATAGATTTAGTTTCCAGAGCTTCTCATAAGAATAATTGTATTGGTATCATTGTACACAAGTTTGATAAGAGTTGATACTATGTGAAATGCAGTGAAGCTGGATGTAACCGGTATATAAATGCCAGTAAGACAGTGAATTCAAATATATTCACAGTTAGAGTATATAAGAAGATGCACTCTTACTCTCGGACTTCTGTGTGTACAAGCGACAAACGAAGGAAAGTCACACCAGGATTAATTGCAGCAGTTGTTAGTAAACTTACCCAGGTCAATTAAAACCACCAACTCCTAAAAGTCTCATGGTTTTGGTTCAAGGAAATGGTCGTGTGGATGTGTCATACTCTACAGCATGGAGAGGCAGACAGAAAGTTATAAGTTATGTTCGTGATACTCCAGAAGAGAGTTTCGAGCATCTGCATTCTTATTTGTAAATGCTAGAGCAGATGAATCCGGGTACAAAATCAAGTGTGAAAGTGGATGAATCTGGAAGATTCAAGTACTTATTCATCACTCTGGGAGCTACCATTGAGGAAAGTGATCATTGTTGATGTAACTTTTTTGAAGACTAGATTTGGTGGAGCCCTTGTATTTGCAACAGCTCATGATCCAAATCATCCCCATTATCCCTTTTCTTTTGGGTAGTTGATGGGGAAAAGAATGATAGTTGGAAGTGGTTCTTCACTAACCTTAAAACCATGATACCTGACAGTTCTGAATTAGTGTTTGTTTTGGATATGAATCAGAGAAATCATCATGGCAATAAAAGAGGTGTACCCGAAAGCTAAACATGGTTTTGGCATCTATCATTTGACCTAGAATGTGAAATCGAGCATTCGGAGAAACAAAGACTTAGTTGTAGGTAAGTTCTTGAATCTGCAAGGAAGTATACAAAGGCTGAGTTTATTGAGGCATATGCTCAACTGGGTGAAAGGTATCCAGATGCAACTAAGTATTTGTATGATAATTTGCATGAGGAAAAATGGGCAAGGTGTTATTTTCCGGGAGAAATGTATAACATCGACGATAGTAACTATGCAGAGTCTATGAACAGTGTATTTGATGATGTGAAGAACTATGCTTTATTACCTATGATGGATTCCATCGTTGCAAAGATATCTGAGTGGTGTAACAAACATAGAAAGGAGTCTGCTACAGTACCTGAAGCACATAAACTGGTTCCTCTTGTCGAAAATATTTTACATGGGACTGTTTAAGCTGCGGCGCTCTTAGTTTTGAGTGAGCTAAACTCGTTTCTGCTTGAATATGCTGTGGTCGGTAGAGATGAGAAAACTTATCTGGTAAACTTGAAAAGCAAATCTTTCTCATGCAAGCGTTTTGATATAGACAAGTATCCTTGCGTCCGTGCAGTTGCTGCAGAGACGAGTTTTATGAACAGGCAAGATAAAAGAGAGGATATCCCCACGCATGATTTTTGCTTGAAGTAATATACTACTGAAATGTGGGCACTTACATATTGCAGGACGGTATACCATGTTCCTTATCGTTCAAAGTGGGTAATTCCAGATGATATCAAACAGATGACTTCCCCAAAACCACCAGAGTACGAGAAAAAAAAGGGAAGAAGGCAAAAAGAGAAGGTTTGCTTCGATTGGAGAGCATGGCCCAAGTCCAAACAATAAACGTAAGAAAATGCAAGGTTATACTCAGGGTGGAGTCTGGGCTCCCTATTTTAATGCTAGTAATCCTGAGGAGAATACGCAGGGTAATACTCAGGAGAGTGAACAATCTTAATTTGTATTTGTATGAATAACTTGGTACAACTAAGTTCAGCTCTGGGTTTATGATTTGCTTATTCTTTCGTGTTAAAATAAGAAAATCGATATGTGTCCAATATTTTGTAACAATTCTGGGAAACAAGGGAGAATGTTATGTTTCTTTTCATCGAAAAAGAGCTTCGTTGAAAAAGAGACACATCTCAGTTACTTTTTATTTTTTTCATACTAATATTAATATACATGTAGACTGACATAATAAGACAAAATAAGACATACCTTTTTCAGACATAAGTCATATATATATATATATATATATATATATCCTTTTGGTTATCGGTATCGGTATTTATCAGTTTTGTAAACAAAATTTAAATTACAAGAAGCATGAAAATGTTGAATTATACAATAATTCCAGCAATCGATGACATTCTCGTAGATTATATACATAATTATATTATGATTAACATTTAAACTAGACAAAATATGTAAATTCACAATATTTGAACGTAAAACAAACTTTTCTCATAAAACACATCACAGTTCTATGCTTACTTCACATTGAGTATCCATATAAGGCATTGAACAATACGTAAAAAGTGAAACACGAAATCTGGTTACATGAAAATGTTGGGGCAGTAAATTAATTGCTATAATTGAAAAATACAACTACAAAATTATATATTTAATAGAGGTATTACTAATTTTTTGCTTAAAATCGCAAAAGTACAACTATTTGAGAGTTTTTATAACTCGCATACTAGATACAAAAACGTATCAAACCTCTTAAAAAGAATTAACATGTGTTCACTTGTTGTTGAATATTAGCTTTGGGCGGCGGCACGTGAGACGGGTATTCTGCGTAATAGTTAAATAATATTATATTTGTTTTAGAAATTTTGGTTTTTGAATTCCCCCCCTAATTCCCCAAAATCAGAAAAATTCGAACTTTCCCCCATTTTTCATTTTTCAAAAGGTTATCCCCTTTCTATTCATATTTCTGTTCTTTCTCTCTCTTTTAAATGTTTTTCTTTCTTTTCTGTTTCCTTATCACGACGTGAATATGGACCTGAGCTACAGTGACAACAAGAGGAACAAAAACTAATCGACAAGCTTTACCACATAGCCGATGGTGACTTTCGGATTCCGATAGGATGTCCATGTGGTGGACGAATCATCGAGGAGAACTCTGAAAATCCAGAAAAGAGATACTACACATGCAACGTGTTTAAGGTATTAGTTGTTCTAATTTTCTGGTTTACTTATAGAATTGCAAATTTTATTTAGAGCCAAAATACCTGTCTTGCTTTTAATATTTCTGGGTTCACTTTTACGATTGCAAATTAAATGTCTAAATTTCTGGGTTCGGAGCTTAAAATTGCATTAGATGTCTAAATTTATGGGTTCATGGCTTAGGATTGCGAATTACTTATTTTGATTTTTGGAATTTATGTGTAGAACAATGGCTACCACATTCGGAAAAAATGGGATCACGCTGTCAAAAAAGAGATTTCTAAGTTAAGAAATGAGATTCATGACCACTGCGTGAAAATTGCAAAGATGTCACACCATAAATCTCAAATCAAGCAAATGCGTATGGAGCTGAACAACAATGCTTAAGAGATTGCAAAGCTGAGGGATTTATTGGTGAGTTTAGGGTTTAAGGTTTAGAATATGAACCCCTAGAATGTTTCACGTGTTTATCTGGGATGAATTACCTTGTTTCTCTAAGAACTTATCTTATGCTGAATTTCTGGTAATTTCATTTAAACGAAGGTGTCACTAATTAGACCGATTTTTACCAAATTTTACCAACTATTGTAGTTTGAAAAATTTCACGTAATTGGGCCGAATTATACCAATTTGTACCAATCACTATCATTTGACAAATTTTCAAGTACTTGGGCTGATTTATACCCAGTTTTACTAATTTCTTAAATTTAGGATATTTTCTAATTTTAGTTTGTTCTCGTAGTTGGGCCGATTTATACCCAGTTTTACTAATTTTTAAATTTTAGGGTTTCTTCTAATGTTAGTTTGTTCGCGCAGTTGGGCCGATTTGTACCCAGTTTTATCAATTTCTAAATTTTAGGGTTTTTTCTAATTTTAATTTGTTTGTGTAGTTAGGCAGAATTATACCTATTTTTACCAATTTCTAAATTTTAGAATTTCTTCTAATTTTAGTTTGTTCTAATTTGAACGCAAAATTTGCAAAAAATTATTCATTTATCACAAAAAAGGTTCATAATACTTAAAAAATTAAGAGAAAAAAAAAACATACTAAATTTTTTTTTTCCGCCATGGATTCAATCTATGGCGTGCAATTGGGTCCAACTTCGAGCGAATTCATCGAACTGGACCTTGTCATTGTGAAACATTACTGCGGCCTCTTCCCTCACCACGTCTGTCTCCTCCACCCGTGGATGGATCAGCATGTCTTGAAGAGTCATCAACATCTGACCCACCGTCGTCGTCATGCACCATGTGTCATTCATCAGCATAGGGTGGAAGATGTCCCTGCCGTGGCTGACGCTTGGGTGGAAGATGGGTGTCTTGAAGAACACCTTCGGTGGCTTCAGCATAAACCCTGTTGAGAAGTAGATGCCAAGAGAAAAGACACTTCCTTCATTAAGAGTTGCCTTAGGACCGGTGATGGTGGCCGTCCACTCGTAGAAATCGTCGTCCTTCACACTGGCGGAGTAGTTGGGAGAGGGGTGATCTTCAAGGTCCTTGAGGGACCTTTGGATCCAGAACAAAGCCATGGGTTCTCATGGGGAAGCCATTTTTGTGAGTTTTGGTACTTTAGAGAGTTTAGGAAATTTAGGGTTTCTGGTATGGTGTGATGAAGTGAAAAGGAGAGAGGGGTATTTAAGAAGAACTGAGGCGGTGATTCTTAACATCGTCTCACAATGAAATTAAATGGGGCAAATAAATGCATCCACTCACGATGAAAATGAATCGATTCTCGATGTAAGACTGGTACAACTACCAAGTCTGATTACCGTTGACTAACTTTTCAAAGACGCATCACTTAAGTTATGATGTCACCTATACGGTCTTCTTATAATTTAATGATTTATTTACCCTTTCTTAAAATTACCCTAAATTGCATAACAACCACCACGAATACCCATTATCTATGTATTTAATTTATCCGATTTGACAGTTACCCGATTTCCTAATTATCACTACAATAATTTTTACGTGAAAAATAAACACAACGAAATTAATAATTATTATGGGCTTCAACATAAACAAAACCCAACAAAGTGGACTCAAAAACGAAACCCATCAAGATCCAACATAAACGAATTAATCACAAAGTAATTAAAAAACACACCAAATCCAACAGTAATATTTGTTCAAAAAGAAATTCGAATTCACAGCAAGCTAGAGGGAACATAAAGATTTTAACTCTTCCTCCTCTAATGATGCTCCGCGCCTTCCTCAACTGAAGCTCCAGGTTATTGTTCCTACATGGTAACACAGATAAAGACCAAGTAGTTCAATCGTGACACAACATAGTTTTACCTATGAGTACCAAATAATACAATTACATTTATAACAAATGTAAAATACATGTATCTCAGTCCGTCCTTTGGTGACATACGTCCTAATAACCGCTGGCTTCGTCTTCTTCTTCTCCTTGTCCTTCTCTGCTACTTCACCTTTCACTTCTTCACTGTCTTCTTCATCTTCTCCTTCTTCTCCTTCCTCTTCACCTTGTTCTTGTCCTTCTTTCTCTTCTCCTTGACCTTCTCTTGTTGCCTCTTTCACATAAGATTCAATAGACTTCAATCTTATATCAATGGCATCGATGAGGTCTCTCATTTGGAGGAACTGATCATCCATACTCTTTTTCAACCCTTGAATATTGTCCACAATTCCAATCAGAGCTGGAGTATTAGAGGAGGCATTCTTCGCTGGTTCATCTCGGTTAATTACATCGTTCAAACTCATATCCTTACAGAATATAAGCTTTCCATCATCAATTATACGCCTCGTCCAATTATCAGGAATTATATCATCGATATCTGGGTCTTCATACCTTTCATGATACCAGCTAACATATCTACCTCATCAGGAGATGGTTGCAAGATACTCTGGATATCTTTGGTATCACCGAGTGTTACATAGAGTTTCGACAAAGAAAAGCCTTTAAGAGTGAATGGTCTGAACTTCGTCTTAGACATACGAGGACACCCTATATCTGCTTCTTTAGCTTCTTCTCTGTTTGTGTCCTTCAGACAAGGTATTGCTTCAAAATGTAGCAGCTCCAAGGGAGTAACAAAGCTAGAAAATGTCAAAGAATCAGTTTCGACGACCCCGTTGAACTGCCTCATTGTATGATCAATTTCCTTGAGATTCACATCAAATGAATACCTCCCCCAAGGAATGGTTCTACACGCATCAAGATCATCCACAATCCTCAAGAAAAAATGGTCTACCGATGGAGCTCCCTTTCCAGTTTTCGCCTTACCACTAATCACACTTGCTAAAAAGTATACAACACACACTGTCAACCTATCTGGACCACCACGCATCTTATCTCTATTTTCTTCAACAACAGCAAGTGAATGGATAGTTCCTTTCTTAAAATACGTAGACTTAAACTCAATATTGCCCATCATCCCATAATTCTCAGGACGCATGTGGCAGTCTAATCCAGATATGAGTCCATGTTCCTTAAGCGAATACCAAATTGGAGCTCCATTGACAACAAACCAACACTCTCTCCTCTTGTTTGTCTTTGCTGTGCGGAGAAGGAGCATCCACATCCCCTAAGTCTTATGGGTTGGATCCATATACATTGCCTTGTGTATCTTTCTATTTATTATCTCTATTGTACATTTTCATGTATCGCTTCTAATTTATTCAAAGGTTACAATTCTACGGTTGTGTGTTTTCATTTTATTTTATTAATTGTATCATTTCGTATATAACCACTAATTATCAACGGTTGCTTCTCTTAATACTTATGTCTTTTAAAGATTATATATTTTGCTTCATTCGTCATTATTTATTTTATTGAAATTTTTTTATAATGCTCTTTTACTTTGAAAAACCACACTTTATAAATCTATTTATTGTTGATAAACTTCAAATTAAACGTAAAATTCCTTAATAAAAACATAGTTCATTTGCAAGCAATTGTTACTATTAATAATAACAATATGAAACACTATGAATGAATCATTGAACCATTGTGTATTTCTATTTATTAATTATTTTAATTAATTATACATTTTCATGTATAACTGCTAATTTGTTCAAAAGTTACAATTATATGGTTGTGTCTTTTTGTTTTATTTTAGTAATTGTACCATTTTGTACATAACATTTGATTATCAACGGTTGCTTCTCTTAATACTTACGTCTTTTCAAGAATGTATATATTTTGTTTCATTGTTCATTATTTCTTTTATTAAACTTTTTTTCTTATAATGCTCTCTTACTTTGAAAAACAACACCTTATATATCAATTTCTTGTTGATAAACATTAAATTAACTTAAAATTCCTTAGTAGAAATATTGTTCATTTCCAAGCAATTGTTACAGAAATAGAGTTACAAGAAATGTTTTTTAGTAGATGGTTAGCCAAGAATAAAGAAAAACTTGAAATAAAAGGTGAAAGATCTGCTCATTCTTCAAGAAAATATTTTTGGAACAAAAGCCAAAATATTTGGACTAAACAAAAAAATGGTAATTCTCTTGGAAATTAAATCACTAATCTTAAAAGGCAATATTATATTTTGTCTTATGATTTTTTTAGTGATATTTTATTTTTTTTAAAATAAAAACATTATTCAGTCAGGAATAAAAAAGTACTTGAATTGGAGGATCTACTATCCAGAAAATATGAGACACTTATATAATTTATTATAACCCTGAAATATGATATACCAAACTATAATAGGGATTAAGAATGCACTTTCTAAAGTAGAAAACACAATTTATAGATTTGGATGTGAATTGAAAAATAAACCAATTTATATGAAAGTTATGAAGTTTTTAGTTTTGAACATAAAAAAAAAATATGAAAAATCACAAAAAATTTCAAAACAAAAGAGAAGGCTAGGAAAAACAAAAAAAACCTAATCTGTGAAGAAAATAACAATATAAAAAACTATAATTGAACCATTGTGTCTTTTATTTTTTTTAGATTATAACTTTCTGTGAAAAACTATGAATGAACTGTTGTGTATTTTCATTAAATATATTTTAAATTGTATATTTTCGTGTATAACTACTAATTTTATACCGATATTTTATGGTTGTGGCTTTTCGTTTGTTATTAATATATGTGTTGTTTATTTAGTGAATATGTGATAACATTTTAATGGGAAATGAATGTTGGAGATTTAAGTGTTACCGTTTTTTAGTGAACTATTGCAACTATTGAGTTTATAGTTATTTTTTAAAACATTGAAATTCTAGAGATTATGGTAATTTAACCAACCATTGCAACTCTTGAGTTTATGGTTATTTACTAAATATTGAAATTATTTAGTTTAAGGTTATTTTACCAACTATTGCATTTATTGAGTTAATGGTTATTAAACCATTGCAACTGTAGGAATTATGCTTCTTCTAAACTAATGAAACTATTTGTTTGTACCCTTTGGAATTCTATAAAATAAAAACTATGAGTGGACCATTGTGTTTTTCTATTTATTTTTATTTTTAATTAATTACATAATTTCGTGTATAACTGCTAATTTATTCAATGGTTACAATTCTATAGTTGTGTCTCTCCGTTTTTATTTTATTAATTGTATCATTTCGTTCATAACCGCCGATTATTAAATGTTGCTTCTCTTATTGCTTATGTCTTTTCAAGATTGTATATTTTGTTCCATTTTTTTAACAATGCTCTCTAATTTTGAAAAACAACCTTATATATTAATTTTGTATTGAAAACTTCAAATTAACGTAGAATTCTTTTAGGAAAACATTGTTCATTTCCAAACAATTGTTACCGAAATAGTGTTAGATAATTTTTTTAAAGTAGATGGTTAGCCATGAATAAAGAGAAACTTGAAATGGAGCATGAAAGATCTGCTTATTTCTCAAGAAAATATTTTGGAACAAAAGCCAAATAATTTGGACTAAAAATGATAATTCTTTTGGCAATTATATTACTAATCTTAAATGGCAACATAATATTTTTTTATGATTTTTAGTTCTATTTTAAATTTGTTTTTTAAATTCTCTTCAACCATGAATAAAGAAGAACTTGAATTATATGATCTTAAATCCACTCAATATCCAGAAAAATATTTTTGGAAGAAAATTCAAAAAAATTAGGACTAAACGAAAAAATAATAATTCTTTTGGCAAGCTTATCACTAATCTTAGAAGGTAACATAATTTTTTGTCCTATGAGTTTATTAGTTATATTTTAAATCTGATTTTTAAATTTACTTTATCATTAAATATGCAAGTGTTGCACTACTTTTGTTTATACTATAACAGTTATATAATTTATTTGACGTATGAAACATGATATACAAAATGATAATGGGGATTAAAAATGCACTTTCTTAAGTAGATAATGCAAATAATAGATTTGCATGTTAAGTAAAAAAAAAAAACAAAGAAAAAGTAAATTAAGTGAAAGTGATGGAGATTTTAGTTTTGAAAAACAGAAAATGGAAAATCACAAAAAAAAAGTTTCAAGAAAAAAGAAAAGGCTAGGAAGAAAAAAAACATAAATCTGTGAAAAAAATTACAATATGAAAAACTATGCATTAACCATTTTCTCTTTGTATTTATTTATTATGTTTAAATTAATTGTATTTTTGTGTATAACAGTTATTAATATGAAAGATTATCATTATTATAAAGTTGTGTCTTTTCATTTATTTTTTGTTTTAAATTATACCTTTCTCTTAAAAACTTCGAATGAACCGTTAGGTCTTTCCCTTAAATATATTTTTAATTATTATTTTTTATATAACTGCCACCTATTGTATGGCTTTGTCGTTTGTTTTTTTTATTTGTATATGTGTTGTTTAGTTAATGAACCTGTGATTACATATTAAAAGGAAATGAATGTTAGAGATTTAAGTGTTATGGTTATTTTGGTGAATCATTGCAACTGTTTATAGTTATTTTACTAAACATTGTTATTCTAGAGATTATGGTCATTTTATCAACCATTATAACTCTTGAGTTTATAGTTATTTACTAAACATTGCAACTCTTGAAAGTAAGGTTAATTTACCAACCATTGCACTTCTTGAGTTAATGGTTATTGAACCATTGCAACTGATCAATATTTAAACAATTTATATTTCAAATATTGAAGCATTGCATTTTTTCAAAAATAATTAAAGACACATTATATTTAAACCATTAATAATGAAGAGTCACAACTTTTTATTAAGAAGATACAACTTTCTACCTAATTAAATATATGTATATATATATGTATAAGACACAAAAATGTTTTTTTCATTTAGAGATGGGTAAACATTTTATTTATCAAGCATACAATTCACTTGTTAACGCCATAAAGTTGAATTATATGCTACAGTTACAAGTTTTTCTAATAATGTTGGCATAAGATCTACGAGTTCACTATTTTAAAACAAAGAAGGTATTACTTATTCAATAATATGATCAAGTTTAGTTATTATGTATTGGTTTTTTTATTTTTTAAAATTTACTCATGTAGGATATTTTAAAATCTTGGCTATAAATGTCTGAATTGTTATTATGTTATCCTCCATTTAAGGGTGTAAAAGTTTAATATGAAATTGATATAATATATTTTTTTAAAAAAATATTTTTCTTGTAGGAAAGTAGAAAAAATCAATGAATACTGAAAATTCAATAGAATTAGAAAGTTTCTCCAAACAACAATCTTCGATTAACAGTACGTCACTTAAATTATATACTCCCTCTGTTTCATAATAGTTGATTTTCTGAATATTGCACATAGATTAAGAAGCAATAAATAATCAATTATTTTCTGTTTTATTTCTTTGATTAGTTTACTTTTACAATTAATTTATTATTTTTATTAATATTACTTTCTCTTTTCCACCAATAAAAAATGGAAAGATGCATTAATTACAAACAAACATGCATTAATTACATACAGGAAATCAAATATTGGGAAACAAGAAATAAAACTCAGAAAATCAACTATTATAAAACAGAGGGAGTATTAAAAAAAATACTTTTAGAATGCTAATTTACATATATTAATTAAAAATTCATTTTTGAATAGATGGTGATTTTCAACTAATATCATACGATATTATCCCAAAAATTGGAATAGTGAGTATTACTATTGCTAGTCATAATATCATAACTGTTTTTTTAATATATTAAAACTAATTATGTTAAAAAATTTAAGGAAAAAGATGAAGATCACAAAAAAGGAACTAAATAATAATTTAATACAATGTTCTGATTGTAATGCTTGAGTTTTGATCAGTACTAAAATATATGCAGTTAGTAAACAACCATTGTTCTCAATTTGTTGCAAATAAGAACGTGTTTTACTCCGTACTGCTCGTGAGCCTCCACCATTATTAGTTAAAATTTTAAATGAGCATTTGTTTCTCCAATATATAAAAACATATAATTCTATCCTAATTTTTACTTCTATGGGTGCATAAATTGATTATTCTGTTCAAAATACATATGAGATGTATTATTTCAATGTCCATAGTGAAATTTATCATTTTATTGGGTCTGTACTACTATGTGATGGTGCCACCAAAATTCTCTCAAATATATATTTTTGATATAACTAACGAGTTAAAAAAATCGCATAATACCACACAATTAAAATTTTTTTAAGCCAATATAATATGTCCAATACTAAATTATGTTATAAATTCAAGAAAATTTTCGGTTTTCAAAAGATAATGTTGACTTAAAATGTATCAAAATTATTTCTAATTGTTTGAAATCCAAATGTTTTCCAGATTATGACAAATTTGAATTTTTTTCATACAAGATTATTTACTAGAATTTTATTCTCTTTGTTTGGAGATTTTAACATTTTAGAATACAATAACATTTTTAAAAACTTCTCATTGTAAAAATATATCTATCAACGATTGAGTTATATCGATAAAATTGATCATTTTGGTTATAATCGTTGTTTAACTTCTTCTCAATGTCAATTGTATAATTGTCTTTTATATGAATGTATATGATAGTTATACATTGTTACATTAATATGAACTCAAATCCATATGTGTGCTAATTGCTTTGTACGGCTTTTTTCGTCTTTATATCTTTATATTTTTGAAAACCATATCTATTTATTTTTTTATAATATTAGTTAATTTTTTCAAAAAAATTGAATACTTATATCTAAGTATCATCACTTTTTGTTATATGTATGTTTACTTATAAATATTTAAATATAATTAAAAATGTAATATACTTTATTTCCTTCGCGATTTCGCGGGGGCTCGAGACCTAGTTGTAATAGTAACTTTTTGGACAAATCAATTTTTGTAATTAAAACTAATTATTTTTTAAACTGTTTAAATTTTTATTATTAACGGAATCAATTATTCTGTTTAAAAATTTGACGACGTGTACTAAAGATCGATTTTGAATATTTTTTCTGTTAAAACTTATAAATTAAAAATTTAAAGTGTTAGTAAAATATTTTGGAGGTTTAAAATGTCAGTATGTACCATTTTGAAGTTTGAAGGTTTTTCTTGCGATTTTTCGTAAATATTATGAGTGTTTTAATAACTGAGTATTTTTTAGCTTTTCTGATTTAAAAACAATCTAACACTGAATTAATTTTTATAATGCTGGTATATGGCATATGAAATTTTAATTCTTTATTTTCGGATCAACAATTAGCAACCTTAACAAAATACTGCCAGTATATGGAAGAAGATGATGATGTCGGAAGACTTTTGCTACCAAGAAGGCCTGAAAACTGTGAAACATCAAAAATATCTAAAGTGAAACTGGTGAAATACACAGTTAAAATTTCGGTAGCTTCGAATCAAAATCGTACTTGTTGCAGCCCCTGCAAATGGAATGGCTCGAGTTTACATGGAAACGCTGATACAGAGATGCGTCACTTTCTCGCAAATCAAACAGCTCCAATCACATTTTCTCACCGCCGGCCACTTCCAATCATCATTCCTCCGCTCTCGCCTCCTCGACCGCTGCGCAGTTTCACCATTCGGAGACCTTTCCTTCGCCGTTCAAATCTTCCGTCAAATCCCTAAACCGTTAACCAACGATTGGAACGCAATTATCCGCGGATTCGCCGCCAGTTCTCAGCCGTCGATCGCGCTTACATGGTACCGATCAATGCTGTTTCAAGCTTCTTCTTCGTCGTCGTCGTCGTCTCTGTGTAGAATCGACGCTCTCACTTGCTCTTTCACACTCAAAGCCTGCGCGCGTGCGCTCTCCTCCTCCTTCACGCCTCAGCTTCACGCTCAGATTAACCGTCGTGGGTTATTCGCGGACGCGCTTCTCTGCACGACGATGCTCGACGCGTACTCGAAAAACGGAGACTTGATCAGCGCGCGGAAACTGTTCGACGAAATGCCTGTGAGAGACGTCGCGTCTTGGAACGCTTTGATCGCTGGATTAGCGTTTGGGAATCGAGCGCACGAGGCGTTGGAGCTGTATAAACGAATGGAATCGGAAGGAATCAGAAGAAACGAAATCACTGTTGTCGCTGCTCTGGGAGCTTGTTCTCATTTGGGTGCTGTTAAAGAAGGTGAGAAGATCCATGGATACGTAAAAGACTCGAACTTGGATCAAAACGTGATTGTTTGCAACGCGACGATCGATATGTATGCGAAATGCGGGTTTGTGGAGAAAGCTTTTCAAGTTTTCGATCAAATCAGAGGCGAGAAGAGCGTTGTCACATGGAACACAATGATCATGGGTTTTGCAGTACACGGAGAAGCAAACAGAGCGATAGAGATCTTTGAGAAACTTGAGGATAATAGCATCAAGCCTGATGATGTCTCGTACTTAGCTGCTCTCACCGCGTGCAGACACGCGGGTTTAGTGGAGTACGGTGCATCAATGTTCAAGAACATGGCGTGTAACGGAGTCGAGCCTAACATGAAGCATTACGGTTGTGTGGTTGATCTTTTGGGACGTGCAGGAAGGCTTAGAGAAGCTCATGAGATTATATGCTCGATGTCGATGGTTCCTGATCCTGTTCTGTGGCAAAGCCTTCTTGGAGCTTCAGAGATTCACAAGAACATTGAAATGGCTGAGATAGCTTCTAAGAAATTAGTTGAGATGGGTGTGAACAACGATGGAGATTACGTGTTGCTATCGAACGTTTATGCAGCTCAGGGAAGGTGGAAGGATGTAGGACGAGTGAGAGATGATATGGAGACAAAACAAGTGAAGAAGATTCCCGGTCTTAGCTACATTGAAGCTCAAGGAGCGATTCATAAATTCTACAACAGTGACAAGAGCCATCAACAGTGGAGACAGATTTATGAGAAGATCGACGAGATCAGGTATATAATGCAATTGGTAAAGAATGATTCTTTTGCTTTTGGGTTTGACTACTTTTTCTTGTGTTTTGATTGGTGAGATTAGGTTTAAGATAAGGGAAGATGGTTACGTGCCGCAGACGGGACTTGTGTTGCACGACATCGGAGAGGAAGAGAAAGAGAACGCTTTGTGTTATCACAGCGAGAAATTGGCGGTGGCTTATGGGCTGATGGTGATGGTAGATGGTGGTGAAGAGGAGAGTCCGGTGAGGGTGATAAAGAATCTGAGGATATGTGGAGATTGTCACGTTGTGTTCAAACATATCTCAAATGTTTATAAGAGAGAGATCATTGTTAGGGATCGAGTTCGGTTTCATAGGTTTAAAGATGGTTCTTGTTCTTGCAGAGATTATTGGTGACATAAACAAATTTTAAGAGGTTTACTGACGTTGTCTCGGATTAAGCCTTTCTGTCACAAACTCTAATTAGTAATGACAATGAAACAAGAATGTACATATATATCGTTTTGACAAGCACTGGGGAAAATTTCTAACTTGACATTATTATGGTGAAACAAACGTGGACCGAACTAGAGGCTAGAGACCGGTCCCACATTTCCGTACTTAAAAGTTTTTTCCAAGTATACTTAAAGAGAATGTGTTTTTTCAAGGTAGTTTTTCTTGTGTGTTCGTTCTAAACCTTTTTAGGTTCATTTAGAATCTATGTAGATAGATTCACTTACGTAAGAATGTCAGCATTTTGTCAAACCTCTATCCAAAAAAAAAAAGAAAAGAAATAAGAATGTCAATTTTAAAAGTTTATTTTTTGATAAAAATGTTAATTTTATACCATTTTAGTTTTTGACAAAAGCTTACAAGTTACAAAGAGAACAAGTAGCGAAAAAAAAAAAAAACTACTAAAAACAACAACAGCGAAAAACTAGAACCCTTAAAACTGTCATAACGAAAATAAGCATAGGAAGTTGAATTTGGGAAAGCACCAAAACGTGAAGAGGGAACCGAGAATGGATGCAAGATGGAACCATTTTTGCCGCGAGCAACCGAGATCCGAGAAAGGCCCTCAAATACTCAAGATCTAATGACACGTACAACTTCGATTCTAAAAAACAACCTTTAAAAGTTGTCGACTGTTAAAAGAAAACACAATTCCAGCGTTATAACTTATAAGTCGTCGTGAGTTACCTTTTGGAAAGTTCTACTTATACCACAACCGAAGCTTTTTGACTGTAGTTTGATTTCGTATTGAAAGATCGTTTGGAATAGTTCATGTAAGAGTTTCAAAGGTTTTCTTATATACCTGGTTATGTTGCATTAAAATCACATTACAACACATCTTTTTTTATGTCAAAATTCACATTACAACACATGTTGATGTTCTAATAGTGAAGTTTGATTTTATTTTGCAATATATTAAATGAAATTCAAAACTTTCACTCAAAGATTATATAATATAATACTGAAGTTGATTACTGTTAACAACAACCTTCATACGCTGTCGCCGATGTAAATGAGTGGATTAAAAATCTACACAAAGATATCAATTTGCCTCCTATAGCAGGTACAGGGTGGGTAAAATGTAATTATTATGCTTCTTTTGATCCAATTACAAGACGTGTCAGAAGAGGATGGATTGTTCGAGATCATCTTGGTTTTGCAAAATACTGGGGTTCAGCTTATCTACAGTCTGCAAATTCAAGCCTCGAAGCCGAAGGAAAAGCTTTGTTGCATGCCTTACAACAGACATTACATCTTGGATTTGAAGGAGATAGCAAAGTCTTGGTTAATATTGTACATGGACACAAGGAAGATTTTTCGATAATAAACTTAGTGGACGGCATCAATCTCTGGCGATCAAGGTTCAAATATCATTCAATCGTAAATGTTTCAAGAAATTCAAATGAGGCAGCCCATTTGTTGGCAAAGAAAGGGCCTCCCAATTGTAAACTTTATTCGGATTGAGTCTATCCACCATATTAATTGACAAATACGTTGTATTCTGATTATATGGTTTCCAATTAATAAAGTCTATTTTGCCGTAAAAAAAAAAAACTGGAAGATTTTCTTTTCTGTAGACATGTTGATTATCATAGAGTAGTTACTCTTAAATATGCTTTCATTATCAATTTGCTTTGATCTGTTTTGATTTTTGCTATTCTTCTTTTGCTATCTACTAGATGATATTCCGCGCGATGCGCGGATTGTTACTTCCATTTGTTTTTATGGATATTTTTCAAATTATTTTTTATACTTTTTTGTAGATTATTTATGTTATAATTTACAAATAAATTAATATTTCTCAGTTTACCGTAAAGATCAGAAACTTGTGTTTTTTCAACTTTAGAATTTATATTCTCTATTGTCAAACTTTTTTTATGTCATGATAGCCCCATCACACTAACAATTATTCAAAACCTAAAAGCTGAGACATCTAAACACATACATTACTCTATCTGAGTTTTATAGAATAAGAAAATCATAAGATGTGAGATATAATAATAAAACTTGAGAGAATGACTATTTATAGGAATAAAATAAAATAAAATTTAAACCCTAATCAGTTTGTAGATTGAACCAAAATTAATTTATAACAAAAAAAAATTACACAAAACAGATGTTAAGAGACCGCTTCTTGAATGCCAAATCTTTCTGTTTTGATTTTAGGAGTTGCATAATTGCATTGGTCTTTTAACCTCGTATAATTATAAGACTTGTCCAGTGATGATGCTATGTATGATTTAGTTGTGAACATAGTGAAAATACCACCTAACATGTATTTATTGAATTCAGTAAGACAGTAGGTGAACAAAACTTAGTATGATAAATAAAAAATAAGGTACACAAAAAGAGACATTAACCCTGTCAATGTAATGAAATAAGTAAAATCTAATAGTGTTTGTCATTTACATATTTCTTCATAATAACTGGCTATTAATCATACCTCCCACAATACATCTTATGTAGGCAAAGTGGAATATCTTTTCGCTATTTTGTGTAAAAAAAAACTGAGTAAATTTGTGTGTTGCAGTGAAAAGAAAAAAAAATATTTATAACAAAGAATATGTGACAAAAATTACTTCTTTTGAGATGTATAAAATTCCTCAACAACAATTGGAATAAAGCAAAAATAGAAAGAAATAAAAAATCGTGTATTTAAGATATAATTGGCTTTCATATGAATATTAAACATTATAAGCTGAATCACAAAACGCTGAAGATGAAATCATGTGATTAGCCATATAATACTGAAAATGGGAACACAATTTTTTTTATTTAAAATATAAAAACAACAACAAAAAGTAAGAATAACATAAACCTTATAATGACTACATAATTTGATAAAATGGAAGAAGATTTTGAAACGAGTTTTGACGAAGACAATCTGTAACATTTACAATTTCAAAGAAGAAAAAACTAAATCAATATTATCAAAGAAGAAAAAAATAATACATAAAAAATCAAATTGAATTTGTTGATGCCACCTCCTCCGTTGCTATTTCCCGTCTTTGATTATTTTGGGTGATATATTTCTTAAACTAAATTGATATATTTACTAAATTTAATGTGTTCTTTGAATTATTATTTTCTTAAATGCAACAAGTTACAAATATTTAGTGGAGAACAACAAACAGATAATGGATTAGTATGAATCTAATATTGGATATCCAATAACAAACAATTATAAAATGTAAGAACAATAAACAGAAAATTTATCAAGACTACAAAACTTGAAGAAATGAAAGATTTGGAATAAATTTATGACAATGACAAAATTCAACAATTGTAATTTTAATGAATAAGAAGAAGAAATGAACTCAATATTATGAAATAAGAAGAAGATATATAATTGATTGGAAACTTAATCAAATTTGTTGTTGCTTTCTTCTTTATAATATCCGCTTTCAATATCTCATTTTGTGTAGTCTTCTTCATCATTAGTTTCATCATACTTGAAATTGAAATTAATAAAAAGAAGAACGTACTTGAAATTGTGAGGTCAAAAGAAAAATTAACATGATATAATAGATTCTAGATTGAAATATTTGTTAGTGGATATGGAAGAACAAATTTGAATAATCAAATGTTAAAACCAACAAAAAAAAAGTTTGCCATGACAAAAAGATTCAATAAATGAAAGAAATATTGATTTTTTTTGTTATATCTTACACTTTTCTTCAACCTTTTCAACACATCTAGTTTCTGCATATATACAAAAAGAACATAAGCTTGAGATTCTTGCAAGTATAAAAAATAATCAAATTAATTTAGTAGATATGGAAGAATAAATTTGAATTATAAAATGTTAAAACCAACAAAAAAAAAGGTTTGGCATGGCTAAAAGATTCAATAAATGAAATAAATATTGAATTTGTTTTGTTATACCTTACACTTTGCTTCAATATTTTCAAACACATATAATTTCTGCATATATAGAAAAGGAACATAAGCTTGAGATTCTTGCAAGTATAGAAAATAATCAAGATCATTTGTAAAATTATGTGGGATGTGGCAAAACTGCAAGAGAAATCTACATGCCATATATAAGAAAAATGTAGTTATTAGGGTTTAGGTTTATTTGAAACATAGACGTTACAAATAAGTCAATTATTAAGGTCTTATGTTTTACGTTTTTTTTTGTTAACTAATAAGGGGGAAATGGCTGGAAAGACACGATGGATGGAAAACTGATCTGGTATGCCACCGTCGTAATAAAATTTTGATTTTGATTTTCTTTTAAGTATAGAAAGTATAGAAAAACCATAACCATCCTTGAAAGGTTAAAAAAATTACAAAAAAAAACCTAATATTTACCCACCCGACCCGATGGAAAGGGGATTTTACTCGGGCTGAGTCGGATTTATTCATTTTTCAGAGAAGTAAAAACCTAAAACTTTATTTCTGCGAAATCGACTGTAATCGACCGTTTAAATTTATCGCCGGAATCGAAATTCTCGCCGGAATCGAAGTTCTCGCCGGAATCGCAAAGTCTGTGGTCGCTCTCCGTAATGGTGAAGGTAAAGAAAGGGAAACGTGGAATTGTTTACAATTCGACCACAGAAAACATCCCCGAAGCCACCATTGTCAAGAACGAAGGCACCCCTCCTCTCCACCCCCTAGAAGTGCTCATCACCGACACTGGGGGTATTGTAATGGGTGTGGAAGCAGTCAAGGCAGGGCGAGATGGAGATGAAGAAGAAGTATTGGAGGAAGATGGAGAGTTAGTTTCCGAGAGGGCCGGTTCCGAGGAAGCAGACGGAGAAGGAAATGAAGAAGGAGAGGGAAAAGAAGAGGAAGAAACGGAAGAAGCCAAGGATGAAGAAGATGAAATACAAGAGGAGGAAGCAGATGATGAAGAAGAGGAAGCCGACGATGAAGAAGATGAAATACAAGAGGAGGAAGCAGATGATGAAGAAGAGGAAGCCGACGATAAAGGAGATGAGGAGGAGGCATAGGAAAAAGAAGAAGAGGAAGAAGAGGAGGAAGCAGAGGAAAATGAAGAGGAAGAAGCAGATGATGAAGGACAGGAAGCGGCAGAGGAGGAAGGTGAGGACATAAACGATGAGGAAGAAGATGAGCAGCTATGTACTGTATTCATGTACTGCTTGATGTGAATTGGCCGCAGGTTAGGAGTTAGAAGAAGAGAAATCCGGGTTTTTTTTTTATTGATTGTGTAATTATTTAGGACACTAGAACAACAGGAACAACTAAGTATGATAAATTTGTGCTTCATGGTTGAATTTTGGAAAACTGAGTCAACTAATGGAAAATGTATTTGAATTGTAGGATCCCGAGGGTGATAGCTTGCCGATGCAACCTGAGAATCTTTTCTTTAAGCCAACCGAGTTTGGCAAAGCTTGCAAGATAGTTTCTAGGTGTTCTGTAATGAGTGTTGTCTAGAAGATAGAGGCAATGCTAGAAGAGGCTAAATGGTTCAAAGCACACCCTCAATTCAGGCACATATTTCACATGCCCAAGGAGCCGAATCACATGAGTCAAGGTCTGTGGATGCTCCTCCTCCATACTGCTAAAATCGAGAAAGAAAGTGAGTGCTGGTTTGTTGTAAACGGTGTCCCCATCCGTTACTCGTTGAGAGAGCATGCGCTCCTCTGTGGCTTAGACTGCCATGAATACCCTATAAAGTAAGGAATTGAGGGGTTGGAGCTTTGTTGAGAGACAGTTTGGAAGGAAGAAGGCAATAACAGTGAAGGATGTGGAAGAGAGGCTTGAGTCAATGGAGAGCTCATAAGATAATAAAAAGATGGCAATACTCTTTTTCTTATGCAAAGTTATTAAAGCCAACTCTAAGGCTAATGGTAACATAGAGCCCTTCTTGCTTCGAGTGGTGAATGATCTGAGGCTGTGTAAGAAATTTCCCTGGGGGCACTACACGTTTGATAATTGCATGAAGGAGATACAGCGTGTGATGAGTAAGCTCAGTGGGAGCGTGAAAGCCAAAGGACAATCATGCAGCTTTGCCAGTTTCATTGTTCCTTTTGAGGTATGTATTATTAATGAGGTTTCAAGTATTGGTATTGTGATATTGAGTTTTTGATACTGTGATTTTCTATGTAGATTATGGCGTTCGAATGTATTCTTGAGCTTTGACGGAGATGCCGAGAAGTTGTGCCTGCAAATGGAGACTGTCCACGCATGTGCAAGGGAAAGTTTTCTGAGATATGCATGAGAGGGTTTCCTTTGGAGGACATCAACGAGGCGATAGGCAATAGTAGCAAGGTAAGTGTTAGTAGTATCCTTTGATGAGCAATATTATAAGATTGACCTAGGTTGGAAGTTGTAAGTAGGTTTGGTTATTTATGACAAGATATTATTAGCATATTGGAACCTAAATCTGAGGAAGAAGCGCTTATAGATCACATATTGGAACGTGGATATGACAAAGGGATAGGGTTTGTTGATCCTTTTGTTGAGTCTTGGACTGATTACTTCACCGTGAAGAAGAAGAAAATATGTTGGAAACAATTGTATGACTTGGAGGTTGGTTGTCAAGGTCAGGAACCGGAAAATGAACCCGAGCCTGAACCGGATAAGGGTACAGCAGTAGTGGATTTGGAGAAGAGGTTAGAGGTTATGGAGGAGAGACTGAAAGCTGTTGAGAAATATTTGAAAGAGAAGATGGAGTTTACTGGAACAGAAGTGAGAGCACCACCATCAGCAGTAGGAGTTCATACACCCACATGAGTTCCTACCACCAGAATCACCAGTAGTCCTTACAACACCAGCAGCCCTCTCACCCAGACAAGACTCCATAGAACCAGCAGCCATCTCACCAACACAAGTGTCCACAGTCCCTCCCTAACCACCACCACAAAGAGTCAAGAGGCAAGGTGCACCATCACAGTGGAAGAAACCTCCGTTTATTGTTTGAAACTTGTTTGATACTTGTTAGCGGTAATACTTATTTTTTTTTAAAATCCAAATATTATTTGTGGTTGGAAGTTGTCTGAAAGTCTTGTTTTTTTGTGGATCTTGTTTGGAGTTTTTGAGAAAGTCTTGTTGTTGTGCAAAATTGCATGAATGGTTTAGGTTTGAAGTTTCAACAACCGTTTTTAAATTTTTTTACGATTGTAACTTCTGGGACAACATGGTTCAACTAAGACGAATTGTTTACTACATAACAAATAAGGGACAACTAGGTTCAACTAATAGGAAATGAACTACATTAAAAATATGGGACAACAAAGTTTAACTAATAAGAAATACATGAGAAATCATTAGATAATTGGGACAACAAGGTTCAACTACGAAGCTTGGTCAACCTTCCATCTTCTTCTCCAGGGCCGCCACAAGAGCTTCGACCTTCGCCTCTAGCTTGTTTATCTTTGAGAGCATGGCTTCAAACACAGACTTCATATCTTCTTGAGTTTCATTTGCCATCTTAATCTCCTCTTCGATCGCGACATCCCACCACTTTTTAAATCCACAACTTGGAACCTGGAACACACCAAATGCAGACGAAGCTTAAGATGGTGCAAAAGAGAGAGAACATCAAAAAGAGACGAAGATATAAACACATCTTACTTCCGGGAAGTTCTTGGGTCCACAGCAACCGTAAAAGCATCCATAGTACCTTCGGCCCCTGTCTAGCGCAGAATTGTCGATTAGGCCCGGCCAAGGAGCAATACGGAGGGACCGCAGTAGCAGAACTCTGGAATTCCCATTTTCTTAGGGCATTTGACAACAATTTTGACTCCATTAACTTCGGGACCCCATCTTGTACCTTTGTCGTAATCCTTCTTTGGGAAAAGTGGTAACCCCTTGTTCATTCCTGCAATCGAAAAAACAAACTAACAATCGATACACTCAAGCCAACCCCCCTAAACCTTATTTTGCCTTTTTCTCTATCTTTCTTGATAAAAAAATTTCTCAGAACTGAGATAACAATGGGTTTTAATAATAGAAATTGGAGGAAAAGGACAAGTGAAATTTGGATATTTGGAAGGAAATTGAAATAATTTTGGAAACGGGCTTCGGGGAACTTGAAATATTTTTGAATTAATCTTAGAGACATCGCCGACTTCGAAGCCCAATAATCGAGACACGCGACAAAAAAACACGTGCGCCATCATTTTAATACGTAGTTGTCCGTAATTGTCCCAGTGCTAACATTTTTTTAATAGGTGTACTTGAGTGATTTATGAGATATTTTTGTTGTACCTTTATATAAATAATCACATTTTAGTTGTTCATATGAATTAATAGTTTAAATTGTCATCCTAAAGGGTTTTCATAATAAATTCTCAATAAAATTATTTATTTGTTATTTTCCAATTATTAGATGATAAACATTACCAAAGTGTTTCTTATAGTCTAGGTCTTGGTAGACAGAAAACAATCTTGTAATTATATAATTTGTTAATTTCTTGCTATCCAATTTTTTAAATTTTTCCTTTTATATTTATATGTGCCTAAGGTCCATCTTGTGGATAATTTATACATATTAATAATCTTTTCATGAATTTAGTAATAATTATTGTCACTAGTAATAGTAGAACCTTAGGAATCCAGTTGTACCAAATGACTCCGCTTTGCAAAACTGGCACGTAAAAAAGTGGCTAACAAACAAAACGCACATAAATACAAAAACGTCAACAGAAATAGAAGAAATACAAATAGTTGTCCATAGTCGAAATACAAGTACAAATAGTTGTCCATAGTCAACCCGGTAGTCCAAATAAAAACAAGAAGAAATACAAATAGTTGTCCATAGTCAAAATACAAATACAAATAATTGTCCATAGTCGACCCGTTGTCCAAATAAAAACATACTCAGAACCTAAGTTTCCCCGCTTTCTGACTGCTGAGAACTTCGGAAACAAGCCTCCAAGTTCAAGTGAGGGTCTTCCTTGTTCTTTGTCCTCCGGCGACGTTCTCCAGGCCCTGGTACACGCTTTTCTTTATTTCTATCTGGTTTTTTCTTCACATCTGGTGGTAAAACGACCAACTCTTTGATGTTGTCAGGAATAATCCACTCAGTATGATGAGGAACAGAATAAATTGTTCGATGGTATGCCAATGCCCACGTCTCAATCAAGTAATACTTTGAGCACAAGTCATACACTTCGATATTTGCTGATCCATCTTCGGTGCTCATCAGTTTCTTTGCGGCGGCTATTGCATGTTCACACGGGAACTTGTCTATATCAAACTGCCTGCAGCAACAGCTTTTCACTATCAAGTTCACCACGTAAGTTTTTCCCTCCATTCCATTAACGCTGTATTCAAGCTCGTAGCTGTTTAGTTCCGTCACCACTAAAAGAGACGCGATTGCACATCTAGTGTGTTTTTCGTTCTCCAAAACAGGCACCACTCTCTTATTGTTAAAAAGACCACAAGATTCCTTCCTGTATCTGTTAAACCATTCAGAAATTTCGGCTACAATCGCATCAATCATATGCTACTTCCTCGCAGTCACTAAACAACTATTCATAGACTCTCCGGCGTTACTAGTCTCTATGTTGTACTTATCCCCCGCAAAGCAGCACCTAGCCCATTTTTCCAGCGTCACACTCTTATCAAGGTACTCAGCGGCTTTAGGAAACCTAACTCTAAAATCACCATACTCTCTAATGAACTCAGATTGAGTATAGATATGCGCGCAATCCCTGAATTTCGCAGCAACGAAGTCTTGATGAGCGCTCGGATACACCCCAGAGACTGCCTTGATGATGCTTGCATGTCTATCACTCATAAACACTAATTCAAGATCATCTGTAACCACGATTTTTAACGTCTCGAAAAACTACCCCCAGCTACGATTATTCTCGCCATCAATCACACCGAACGCAACCGGGTAATTGTGCCGATCAGGGTCTTGAGCTGTGGCAAATACTAGCATACCACCATAGGAACCCGAGAGAAAAGTTGCGTCCACTACTAACACTTTCCTAATTGCTCTAAAACCTTCAACGCAAGCGCCTAAAACAATGAATAAGTATTTGAACTTCTTCGCTGCAGTCAATTCCACGCTTGTTACCGTTCTGAGATTTACCTTCTCCAACATGTGCAAATAAGGATACAACATACCATAGCTTTCTTCTGGACTGCCCTGTACATTATTAAATGTGAGTTTCTTGCCTCTCAGGGCAGTGGAATAGAACAGATTCATACCAATACGCTTTTGAACAACATTGATGATACTTTTAGCAAGTGGGGTGTCGAGCCGACCTGGATATGCATCATGCAGAACCGATGCTACCATTTCTGGTGTACCTTTCAATTTATTGCTTCTTGTAGTCTGAGAAGCACGGGAACATATGTGCATCTTTCTATACACCCTAAACCCCAATGTACATACCACAACATGCAATGTTGCCAATGAAACATATACCATACCTAATCGGAGAAAGAATATGAGCTAATTGGGGAAGACAGAGGGGAGGACTGCCGCCGATGGCCGGTTGCACGACCGGAGAGTTCTGCGCTTTCAAATGCAGCGTGTGACTGGCGGAGAAGAACGACGACCGCGAACGACAAAAGGAAGAGGATCAAATCTTCGTTTTCCGACGACAAAATTGATTTTCGAAATTGCGTTTTTTTTTTCCGGCGAACAGAAATATATTTGAATTTGAAAATAAATTATACAAAATCGATTTTTAACAAAATTACACACAAACTGGATCCCTCTCATTAAGGTTAGATTGATATTTTTTTTTTTTACATAGTTTTTTTTTTGACATCATTACATGGTTTTTTTTCTAATAAGTTGAATGAATTTAATGTAATTTACTTATGTAGGTTAAATAAAATATATTTTTTCTCTAAAATATATTTTTTTCTCTAAAATAAAATGAAAATGTCAAATGGTCCAATAGAGAGAAAATGAAACTTTTATATATATAGATATATATATATATATTCAATTCTCATATTTTCCCTATATAATAAAGAATACTGTTAAAGTAAAGTAAAATTTAATACTGTAGGCCTCTTAGCAAATTCTTGGAAACTTCGTATAGTCGAAAAGCTGAGTCAGGTAGCAAAAGTAAAATCTCCTCTTTGACTCGATCAAAATCTTTTTCTCTTATTATTTTACTTTTTTAATAATTCCTCCTTTGTGTCTCTCTCGCCGATCAAACCCTAGAAATTTTCAATTATCGCTCTCGTTTCGTTCGATCGCTTCCGTTTCTCCCTGTGTTATGTAGGCTTGATTCGTTCTCTCCACCTTTAATCGTGAGAGGCGAAGAGAAGAGGGTCACGGTTACTATTTTGTTTCTGTTCTGAAAAGGGTTTGCTTCTCGTTGACCCGATTGATTCTCATTTTTTTTTTCAAAAGGCAGATTCTCTATCGGAGATGGCGAATTCATCTTCTCCAGATTCGTGTTTGAGAGGGGGAAAATTCAACGCACCTGGATTTCGATTTCACCCGACCGATGAGGAGCTCGTGGTGTATTATCTCAAGAGGAAGGTCTGTGGTAGAAAGCTTAGGATCAATGCCATTGGCGTCGTTGATGTTTACAAAGTTGATCCTTCCGAATTGCCTGGTAATTTTTACTTTTTTCGTACTTGATTTCGCTTTCGAATCACTCTCTAAGGCTTGCTTATTGAGTTTAGATTGCTTATTGAGTTTAGATTGCTTGTTGATGATTCATTGGCTATTGAGAGAAGTAATCGATTGTGTACGTATTCCAATTTTTATGTGCAAATGAGTTTGAGAAATATATGTTACTTAGCTCTATAATCTCTTTTAGGTTCAAGTGATTTCATTTTACATGGTCTCTTAGTTATTGAACAATCTGATACGCAGGTCTATCTGTGTTGAAGTCTGGAGATAGACAGTGGTTTTATTTCACTCCAAGGAGCAGGAAGTATCCAAACGCAGCTAGGTCAAGTAGAGGCACTGCAACTGGGTACTGGAAAGCAACAGGGAAAGATCGAGTCATAGTGTACAATTCGAGACCTGTAGGACTCAAAAAGACTCTTGTTTTCTATAGAGGCCGTGCGCCTAACGGTGAGCGAACTGACTGGGTGATGCACGAGTACACGATGGATGAAGAAGAGCTCGGGAGATGCAAGAACGTCAAGGATTATTATGCTCTTTATAAGCTGTACAAGAAAAGTGGGGCTGGTCCCAAGAATGGTGAAGAGTATGGTGCGCCGTTCCAAGAAGAAGAATGGGTTGATGATGATGATAGTGAAGACGCAGATAATGTTGTTGCTGTACCGGATGATCATGTGGTCCGTTACGAGAATAACTGTCGTGTGGATGATGGTATGTTCTGCAATCCTGTTAGTGTTCAGTTAGATGATCTTGAGAAGCTTCTCAACGAAATCCCAGATGCACCTGGAGTTGCTCCAAGAGAAATGAGTGACCTTTCTGGTGTTCTGCAGGTTAGTTTCTTCTCTGTTTCATAGAGGAATATAGCGCTTCTTTCATATGGTCATTTTGTTGTGCTTCCTCCACTAAATTAGTTTCTTCTCTGTTTCAATGAGGAATATAGTGCTTGTTTCATATGCTCACTAAATAGATGCTTGTACTTATAGGGTAATAGCGAAGGAGAGATACAGAGCACGTTGCTGAATAATTTTCCTGGAGAGTTTCTTGCACCCCGGGAAGTCGGAAAGTTCTCGCCAAATTGCCAGCCATACAACAGACCCTTGAGTTTTCAGCCTCATCTGAGGTCAGAAAACTCAGCTTTCAATGCCTCTGGTATGGCACCTCTAGTGTTTGAGAAGGAGGATTACATTGAAATGGATGATCTTCTGATCCCTGAACTCAGAGCTTCTACAACTGAGGAATCCTCACAGTTCTTGAACCATGGTGAACTCGGCAACGTCAACGAGTTTGACCAATTGTTCCATGACATTTCCATGTCTTTGGATGCAGAACCTGTTTTTCAGGGAACTTCTACAGATCTGTCTTCTCTGAGTGATCATGCTAGCAACACATCAGACCAAAGACAGCAATTCCTTTATCAAGAGGTTCAGGACCAGTCCCCTGAGAACCAGCTGAACAACTTCATCGATGATCCCAGTACGAGTCTCAATCAATTCACTGACGATATGTGGTTTCATGATGCTCAGGCTGATCTCTTTGATCAACCACAATCTTCTTCTCTAGCATTTGCTTCACCTTCACCAGGTACTTAAACTCATGCTCGTTTCGGAACATCCGAACACCTATGTTGTCTGCCAAGTTATATTCCAGTATGCACCAATACCAAAACATGTATATATGATACTCTGCTTCTTGTTAATCCTTGTTTATCAAATCCTCTTGCTAATATCTTTAAACGTTATATAACCTAAGCCTTTCCGCTGATATTTCTGTAAATACTATTTGCTTAGGTGTGATTCCCGGTTCCACAAATCCGACTATGAATGTAAATGCCCAAGACCAGGAAGGCCAAAACGGTGTTGGAAAGACGAGCCAGTTTTCATCGGCTCTGTGGGCATTTATGGAATCAATACCTTCAACACCAGCTTCTGCGTGTGAGGGTCCTCTTAACCGGACCTTTGTGCGTATGTCTAGCTTTAGCCGCATCAGGTTCAATGGAACCTCGGTGACTACTAGCAAAGTCACAAAAGCAAAGAAGCGTATGGGAAACAGAGGTTTTCTTCTTTTATCAATTATGGGTGCTTTGTGTGCCATCTTCTGGGTGTTCATCATAGCCACAGTTGGGGTCTTGGGGAGACCTATCTTATCGTGACGACTTAGACTCTTTGATTCAGGTTAAGTTACAAGAAAGCATGATCCACATTAGTGATCATGGAATTGATATTATATGAATCTTTGATTATGTATAGAGTTTGAACGAGTTGAGAAAAATAATTCTTAATGAAAGGAGTTTTTTTATGTCTCGATTGTCGATGCTATTGATTGCATATCTTATTGGGTTATATCATATTCACAAAAAGTTAGAGAAAACGAGAATAACTAAAGATTCGCAAGATGAGGGTTGCGATAACCAACTGTCTAGCATCATTAAGTTTCAAAAAGTTCAAGGTTTAAACGCACAGAAAGTTCTTGGTGTAACTTTGTTTTCCGAAAACAAGAGAGTTTGACTTGTATGAGTTGTTTCAAAGTGCAATAGTGGATGTCAGTGAATGGGACGCTTCAATTAAGTTTAATGTTTATGTGGAATTAGGTAAGAGATTGATTGGCGTTTGAAAACTGTTTGTTAGGTGAATGACGTAAAGCTATATCTGTTTAAGTATGGCATCGCATTGATGACCTTATTTGTTTTTTTAATGGTTAAATGGAGGACCAAACGGGAGGTGGTTATACAAGGTGAAAGAGTCAAATCAGTCTTAGTCCATTTATGCTATCACCGATTCCTTTTGAAAGGTTAGACACCTTTTAACTCTGTTGTTAGCGTTTATAGTTAGCTTTAGATGTCAAGGTTAGATTGGTTAGGGTATGTGATAAATGCATATGAGGTTTTGTTAGGTAAATCTACTTTGTGATCAATGCAAGCTTGCTTTATTTAGGTAAAGGTCATCTGATAGCTGCTTCTGTGCTTTTATTACTCACACTGAAACATTTAAACCACGTATTTATAAACCACATAAGATTACCCTTATGAACACAATCACAAGCACTTAAACATTCTACATAAATCATCTTTCTTCTAAACCCTAAAACACTAAGTGTACAATGAGTATATGGATTCCATGAGCCATATACTCAATCTGAAGGCTTTGTAAACCTCTTAACTAGTCAGCGAGTTACACGCCGATTATAGAACTTGGATCAGCAGAGGTACCTCTGTGTAGTACTCAAGGTTCTGATGATTCAAGCATACTTTTATGTGTTATGTTTTGTATATAGAGTTCACGGATTAAACTTTGATGTGATCTGTTTTGTATCCTTGCTATCACGGATGTAGTTTTGTATCCACTGTGTTGTAAAAAAATCTTAATCACAAAATGTGTTCTCATAATCGAAGTAATTTATATATGTGATTGGAGAACTTGTCATAAAAAAGACTTATCACTTCTCTTCTTCCATTCCATTTCTCTATACAAAACTCTATCACTTTTCATCTTCTCCTCTGTTTCTCTTGTTGAAAACTAATTTCTCTTCTTCAATTTCCCTACCAAACATATAAAAATATCTTCAACCATGGCATCAACTTCAAGGATTGATCAAATTTTTGATCAAAAATTTGACAATATGTTTGATGTCATACTTGAACGTCAAGCAACAAAAAAGACAATGAAGAAATGAGCCTATATTGAGAGAGAGCGGGAGCAAGGTCACATCCGCTTATGAAACGACTTTTTCTCGGAGAATCTAACAAAACTGCCAAATATATTTTGACGCCGTTTTAGAATGAATAAGTCCATGTTCATGCGTATTGTGGATCAACTCTCCAATGAAGTTTAATATTTTCAACAAAGAAGAAATGGTGGTGGTAGGTCGGATCTATCTGGACTACAAAAATGTACGGCAGCACTACATATGATGGCATATGGTTGTACGGCTGACGCGGTTGTCGAGTACCTCGGCCATAGTGAAAGTACTGCAATTTTATGCTTGGAAAATTTCACTGATGGAATAATAAATATATTTAGAGATGAGTACCTGAGAAGACACACACCAGAAGATCTTCAGCGGCGACTCGATATTGGAGAGATACGCAGGTTTCCTGAGATGATAGGGAGCATCGATTGTATGCATTGAGAATAGAAGAATTGCCCTACCACTTGGAAAGGGCAATATACACGTGGTTCAGAAAACCCGACAATCGTCTTAGAAGTTGTAGCATCACAAGATCTTTGGATATGGCACAGGCTTTTGGACCTCCAGGTACCTTAAACGATATTAATGTTCTTGATCGCTCACATGTTTTTGATGACATTTTACAAGGCCGAGCTCCGAAAGTGCAATACTTCGTCAATAGACACAAGTATAATTTGGCTTACTACCTAACAGATGGTATTTATCCAAAATGGACAACTTTTATACAATCTATTCCAATTCTTCAAAGTCCGAAAGCAAAGTTATTTGCAACATATCAAGAATCCATCTGAAAAGATGTCGAACGTGCTTTGGAGTTTTACAAGCTCGATTTGCAATAGAGAAATACCCGGGTCTTATTTGGGATAAGAAAAAAATGGAAAGATTATGAGAGCATGTATCATACTACACAATATGATAGTAGAAAACGAACGAGATGTATACACTCAGTTTGATATATCTGAGTTCGAGGAGAAGGTAGCAGAAGTTCACAGGTGGATTTGGAATACTCTACAGATATACCTTCAAATCTCAGCAATATGATTGACATTCAGAATCAAGTTCGCGACAAACAAATACATGTATAACTGAAAAATGATTTAGTTGAACATATATAGCACAAATTTGGTAACTCTCAAGATTACAACTAAATGTTTTACGATTTCAATATTAATGTTTTCTATGTTATAACATTCATGTAATAAATTTTCAATCTTGTTTAATAAATAAAATATGTTTAAGTTTATTATTCAAATATAATAAATATTCAAAATAATTTTTTTAAAATTTATTATTTTTTAATTCCTAAGAACCCCTAAATAAGATTCTTTAATGGAGGAATTTTTTTAGCAGGAGTTCTTCACTATTCATAAAACACAAAAATATTCCTTTAGAAGCGCTTATTGATGGAGGTGTTCTAAGGGTTTTTATTTTCAAACCTCTCCAAATTCCATATGTAGAGGTGTGATTTCCTCTACTTCTTCTGTTTTTACATAAAAATATATCTCAAGTCTCACAAAATATTTCTTAAAACTTTTTTTAAAAATATCAGAAAAAAAAAAGAATAAGTTCTATTTATATTATCAAACAAGTCAATTTAATGTAATATTAATAAAATAATATATTTTAATTTATATTTTAAAATAAATTCGAAAATTTAAATTTGAATTTAGATTTGTTATAAATTTCCTTAAATATAAGTTATATTATTTATCAAAATTAGAAAATATTTTATTATTTAAATATTCAAATTTAAGTAATATTTTTATTTTAGAATTAATTTAATTAATTTCAAATAATAAATCTGATATTAATTTAGAATTAATTTAAATATTCAAATTTAAGTAATATTTTTAATAACAAACATAAAAATAACATATTATTGTATATTTTTATCAAATAAGTCTAAAATTTTAATATTCAAAATTAAAAAGTATATAAAATATACAAATAATATGAATGAATGGGTTATAATTATGTTTTAATAACCATAGTTTTTTCGGATTAATATAAATGAACATGGTAAAATGACGTTTTTACAATCGTTGTACTTTCGAATTAATATGAACGGACATGTTAGAATAATGTTTTTCTAATCGCGATCATTTGTATACTAAAAAACAAATTAGTAGAAAAAAATTATATATAAACAGAAAAAATATATTACTTATTAGAAAGTTATATCTAAAAAATAAAAATACAAATTCTATTACAAAATTTGATAAATTATAAACAGTTCACGTGCGGATGCACGGGATAGAATCTAATAAGACATTTAAAAATCACCAGTTGAATAACAGGGAATTTTAAAAAGAATACAAAATCTTCAAAAATCCCTAATCCAATACACCAGCGTTGGTAATGGAATAAAACGACTATGAATTATTATATTTTTCTCCAACTACACCCAAATGCACTCGGTAAGAATTCACTTTCCCCTGCAAAATTTTCTTTCTCGAAGTAAGCCCTCAAGGAAAGGGAAAGGAACAAAAATTATCTTTTTCAAGTCCGTGGTTTTGATTCACTATATATCTCGCAGGTTGTTATCGTTAAAAGCGATAGAGACCCTTTTCTTGATTGAAACCCGTCCTCATGTCTTACTTGGTTGGGAATGAAGATAAATTTTGACTGTCGTTTCTTAGAAGGTATTCAACATCAAATTCTCAACCAGTATAAATTCAAATACTTTTTTGTTTTTGCATGTTTCCAATGCTCAGTTCAATACGTCCTAGGCTAACCAAAGAAACAAAAAAAAAAAAAAAACCATTTTCAAATGTGAGCCCGGGCTATATAAGATTTATTATCCTTATTTATCCCAAAGAAAACTGAGTCGGGATTACTAGACTAACGCATCCTCCAATCTATCTGATTATCTACGTCACCAACTTGCTAAACCAAGTTTATTATACTGAACCCATAAATGGGGCGATCCAAAAAGACCCCTGATAAATAATAAAAAATTATATATATGATGATGATAGTGAAGACGCAGATAATTCATGTTGTTATATCGGATGATCATGTGGTCCGTTATGAGAATAACCATCGTGTCAATGTTCAGCTAGTATGATCTCGATAAAGACAAAATACCAGATGCACCTGGCCCCTGGGGTTACTTCAAGACAAATTAATGAGCATTTGCTTTGATAATCTCTTTGATCAACCGTAATCTTCTTCTCAAGCATTTGCTTCACCTTCATCAAGTATCTCATTTCGGAACATAGCTATCTTTTCTGGTTGCCACTAAGCACATATACTTTCTCTGCTTCTTGTTAACTCTTTTATTTATCAAAACCTCTTGTTAATATCTCTAGATGTACTAACCTAAGCCATCTCTGAAACTTCTTGAACACCAATTTTGCTTAGGGGTGAATGGGTGATGCCCGAGTCTAAGAATCCTACCATGAATGTAAATGAACAAGACCAGGAAGACCAACATGGTGGTGGAACGACGAGCCAGTCATTTAATTAATACCAGCTTCTGGCGTGTGGAGGTCTCTTAACGGACTTTTGTGCGTATGTCTAGCT